TTCATGCCTGAGCCGAATCTATTTAACAATATTTCAAAGATTTTGTCCGCTGTGTCGCGTTCTTCTTCTTTCTTCGCAACCACGCATTTCAATGCCGTGCCTTCCAGATTGCTCAGTATCGCTGTGCATGCTTGCCTCTCATCGTTCAAGTTGTCTTGTTCTAAGTGCAACCTCATGACTTCTACCCAAGTGTCAATGCACCCATCTGAATCATCTTTGAACTCCTTCGGTTTCTTGAAGGTTTTCCTGGATTTGTTGCCTCCTCTGTCACTCGAGTCGGTGTTCCTCGTGGCGAAGGCTTCTAGCGTCCTGTTCATCATTTCCCAGGTGCTTGCCCAAGTCATGGCATCCGGTCCCACGTTGTTGTGAGTCGTGGAGTCCCCTGGACCACTAGTTGTGTTCACTGTTCCATTCTTTATAATGGCCCTGGCCCCCACCGGTGCCGTAATAGCGGCCTCCCTGGTTGCTGGTAACGGTGTTGACTGTCGTTTGTTCCTTTGAGGCTCCACGAAGTCCACTCTATTACCTTGTGTCCTATCTGCAGCTGGCCTGTCTTGTTGTGTTGAATTCCTAAGAATAGCGTCTAGCTTTGTCTGTATTGCACTTGAGCTCTCAGCCTGTTCCCTACTCATCGTATCCATTCTCGTTTCCAAACTCCCTAAATGGCAATTCACTGCGTCATATCGCTGCTTCATTTCCTGCATGTCCTTTCTGATGTTCTTCTCTCGCTCTTCATCAGTGGTTTCCACTTTGTCAGACATCTTCTGAAGCTTTTCCTCCGTCGCTCTCGCTAGAAGGAAATAGTTGTCCAAGTACTCATGTTTGTTGTGTCTCATTTCTTTCTTTATCACATTTCTATCCTCTTCGCTGTGCTTCAGTTTCTCATCTATCTGATCTAGTTTCGCCATCAAGTCGCTTAACTCAAGAGTTGTCGTTCCATGGTCCGTTGTTGTCCTGTAGTTGATCGTTGGTCCCGATTTTCTCTGACTCTCGTTCTGATCGGTCTCTGTCGTTCTCGTGGATACTGTTCCGAATGTTTTGCTTTTCTCAACCTTCGTCTCCTCCACTGCTGCGTCCTTCGATCTCATTCCGACCATCATTGCTAATCTTTCAGTAAAAGACGTTCTCTTTTGAGACTCATCCTTCACTGTTTCTTGCGTGTTGCCTGTTGTGTCTTCCGCGTTGTCTATCGGTGAGAACTCAATGGGATTCGGGTTGGGTTCTTCCGCATTAGGCATTGGAGTTGACTCTGTCGTCTTCTTTCCTGCTTCATCCACACTTTGATCAGGTGTCTCTAGATCAATCTCGATGGTGGGTTCTACTCGTTCCTCTTCTATGCCCTCTTTTGCTTTGTTCTCCGTGGTACTCCTCGTGCTGACCATACTAACTGAAAAGTTCTTCTTTGTTATCTTCGGACCCATTGATGTTGTGTTACGTAGCGACGAGTTATACTTGGTCTTCGCTTCGGTAGATCTCTTCTCAGCTACCGGTACTCTGCTCCGCCTCATTATTTACAATTGTTACTATTTACAGTATTACTACCTACAAAATTCTACTCTAAAGTTAAAACCTCTTTTGAAAAAGAAAAAATTTTCTAAAAAGAAATCGACGATTTGCTGAAAACAACTTTTCTTAAGCTCTTGAAGATTTTATGTGTTAGGATAGGATAGGGAATATGATCTTACAATTGTTTACTTCAACCTGACTTAGTACTCTTTTAGTGCCCCCTTCCTATTATTCAGTGTTGTGCCAGTGCTTCTTGTTAGTATCCCCAGACTAGTGTCCCAAGACCAATGTCCCAAGACCAACGTCCCAAGACTAACGTCCCAAGACCAATGGCCCAAGACCAACGTCCCAAGACTATTGTCCCAAGGCTAATGTCCCAAGACTAACGTCCCAAGACCAATGGCCCAAGACCAACGTCCCAAGACTATTGTCCCAAGACTAATGTCCCAAGGCTAATGGCCCAAGACCAATGTCCCAAGACCACTGTCCCAAGACTAATGTCCCAAGACCACTGTCCCAAGACCACTGTCCCAAGACCAATGTCCCAAGACCAATGTCCCAAGACCAATGTCCCAAGGCCAATGTCCCAAGACTAATGTCCCAAGACCAATGTCCCAAGACCACTGTCCCAAGACCAATGTCCCAAGACCAATGTCCCAAGACCAATGTCCCAAGACTGTTTCGTACCAAGACGGCTCTGGTCCAAGACTGTTCCAAGGCTGCACTGTCCCAAGACTATCCCAAGACTGTGTTGCCCCAAGACTGTCCCCAGAGTGCAATGTCCCAAGACTTCTTCGGTACTGTCCCAAGACTTCTTCGGTACTGTCCCAAGACTCGTCACTGAGTGTCTGGATATCGGGTCTCTTCTTCTTCGTTGTAGGGACTATTGAACCACTGTACCTTTTACCACCACTTGAGCTCTTGTAAAAATTTTCCCAAAATCCCTATCTTACTGGTCAAAACCCAAATACTGATCCCCCTGTATTTGAAGCTCTTAATTCCTCGCAGGTATCTTGTGATCACCTGTTCGTGAAAATACCAACAACAAATTTTCACAAAAACATAAAAATTTAATCTGGAAAAAATTTCAAAAACAGATGGGTGAATTCTCCTGAAATTCAAGGTTGACTGATGTCAATCTTTGTCCGAAAAAATGTCTGGTACCCGATTGCCACGCGTTTTCCTGCCCCCTGCTAGCGATCTTATGGGGTATCACAAAAACTGTCTATGTCCGTTCCCCCCTACCGATCCGACCAGGGTACCTACCTTAACCTGATTCTAATTTTGGATATCCGCTTCCTGTAACCAACGCGTGTAATTATCTAATGTAACTAAGTCGACGATGCCGAGCTATTAGTTACTCTAATGTCCCCCCTTTTTACAATTTATAACCGCTAACCTCTAACCTAACCAGCCCCCCTTCTAACCTTCCCCCTTTTTAGCCCCCTCTTAAGCCGAAAAATCCCTTAAGCGCCGGGTGCTAAACCTCTCGAGAGCAAACCGTAGACCTGTTTCCAGGCCTGCTTGTGCAAAAACTTCCTCAAAACAATGGGACTCCGCGTATCCAATTTTACACTTATCTCCTATAATGTAATGTGGATTCTAACGATACCCGTTGCCCAACTTGAGAACACCCCTGTGCGTCCTCTTGTGGTGATCCTGTGCTGGTTGTCTCTGTTCTGTACTTGACAGCAGCACACTTTCCCACTTGGCTGGTCACCTCTTCCAGTCAAGTCTCCTAGTAGTCCGTTTCGATCCTTGTGAACCACTTTCCCACTCGACTGGTCACCCTTTCCAGTCAAGTCTCCCAGTGGTCCGGTTCGATCCTTGTGAACCACTTTCCCACTCGACTGGTCACCTCTTCCAGTCAAGTCTCGTAGTGGTCCGGCTAGGTTGCAATCTGTCTGAAAACCCTTAACAACGCCCCCACTCGGGCACCTTCTCAGAGTCACTGGTTTAAATTGCTAAATTGATCGAAACGATCTGTCTTATAAAACAGTATGGGCATACTATTTAATTAATATGAAGGTTTGATCCAAATGATCTGGTATCAAAGTCACTGTCTTTTCGTTTTATGGTTTTTTTTCTATACTTTTTTCTTGTTTTTGTTTCCCTAGTTCCCCCCCCCTTACTCGGTTAGCTAGGCCTCGTTCGGAGAGCATACCAGGAAGTTTTCTCAAGTTTTCTTAAAAAGCTATCACGGTACAACCGGAAGGTTTACACGTTCCCGTTGAACCGTACCACCGGTACTCTAGAATGGGCATGCAGCCCGGAGCTGTGTCAAGTGGGTTCGACTCCGTAGTCTTGATGTCGTAAAAACACCCAGAAGCGCAATAAAAACACTTTGTAACAGTCGCCTACTTCGGTCACATATGAGGCTTAAGAAAAATAGGCCCTATAACCATTGGCTCAAGAGTCAGGGACACTATCTCTTGTGTTTTTCTACCTCAAGAACGGTCGGAGCCAATTCGGTTCGCTTGCGACATGAGACTAGAACCCGTTACAGCTTAAAGGCTACTACCAAAATATCCCCCCACTCTAGAAAATAAGAACGTCCCCATACTTAGGTCTCAAAATACCCAAAATACGCGAACGCCGTTAAAAACAGGGTCGGAACAATCCGTTAAGTTACTTTTTATTGGACAGTGGAACTTTGATCCATTTCAGATGGATCAACCTAAAACTCGCCTTATCTCAACATAACAATCAAAAAACACACTCGAGAAATTTAAATTGGGAACTCACATGTCGATGTACTCGAGCACAAGGAGTAATTAAATTGGTAAGCAACTCAAGAATTAGGTAATATAACTAGATAAGTTTAATACTGGTCAGTTTTGGTAATCGAAGTAAATTCCGACTCTAGAATTTGAGTTTTTGCTTGAACTATTGGGACACTCAAGCTGTCCACCTTTCCATTGAAGGTTCACTCTAGTTCGTTCCGAATAGTCGTTCTTTCTTCTATTTATCGTCTCTCCTATTTCGGGATAAGACTGCTCTACTCGTGTCCTATTCTATATCTGGAAATTGCGAATAGCAATTTCCCGCTGTTTTTCTTGAGTAATTTCCCGCAATTGTAAATTCGGATGTTCTGATTTTTCACTTTCTGTTTTCAGTTGGTACGAGAAAACTGAGCATGACAGGCTCCATTCGAAAATTTGAAAATTGAAATTCCACTCCAAAATTACGTATTTTCGCGTCTCTCAAGGTCAAACTTCCAGACATGACCGACTGGCACATGTTGGATCGGATCAAATGTTGCTGGGGTTGGTGCGCAACCAACAATCAGTATTTCGTCGGAATTTTTCCTGTGATTGATTGTTGATTAATGTAATTGATTTTTTCTCAGTTAATTTTTGAAAGGCCCTGTTTACAGTCCCGGTTGAGTTATTTTCCCTAGCGTTGTAATGACTCATCAGTCATTTTCCGTTTCACTTGCACTTGAGATAACCAAGGGTATTGCAATCGGCTTTTAACATTTTGTTTTTTAGTTAATGCAGGGTTATTTTTCAGAGATTTATTTTTGATCAATTTATCATCAAATGGAATCAAAAATGGATGCTCCTCCTCAGTACGCGTCTGCACCACCTGGTACCTATGCCCAGACGAGTCAGCCACTAGCATATCATCAACCATATGCACACCAACCGCAGCAACAGTATGCGCCTCAACAGCAGCAGCAAGCATACGTACAACCTTCCAACGTGAACGTTGTCGTGCAACAACCTACGCCACAGAAGATTTACGTGGAGGCGCGTAATTACCCGCTTCCCAGATCTTGGAAATCGGGTCTTTTCGGATGTTTTGATGACTGTGGAAACTGTCTTCTGACTTGGTTCTGTGGTCCATGCATGCTGTGTTCCGTAAGTTGGTCAACATTATTTGTTTGTGAGAGTTAATTTTTGATAGATTAGTTTTCTAAAGCTGCAGTCTTCTGTACTTTTGACATGTTTTAGGCGGCATCGAAGACTTAATTCAATAATTTTTGCTCGGCTCTTCAGCGATCAAGTGTTGGTGATATGTTACAATAGATGGTAATTTTGAGTATAGTGTATGTATTAAATTTGAAAACTATAATGCATAATATAGTCATTTCATGTTCAATTGTGCAAGCTACTAAGATAATTTTTTGTGACTACATTACTCTGTCAAGTGAAAATGTTATTCAAAAATTCATGTTTTACACTTCTTTCGTCGAAAAATTTGGCTTTGAAATAAGTCATAAGTTTTGTTTGAAGTACAGTAAGTAACGATCCAGATCCAGCTATTTAACTTCATCCTTCCACCTGTTGTAATATATCACCCAAGTGTTCTGCTACCCACGGTGTACCTGATAGTTTTTGTCTAATAGTGTTATTCCTAGGAATTGTGACCTCCATATGCTAGGAACGAGCAAGGGTAACGAACGCACACTGATACTGCGACTTTTTTACCCACAAAGTTGTTCGCAGAATTTGCTCGTGTGAATTACTTTTTTCAATCTGCTTTGTAATTCAAACTAAGTACTCCTATGCTTGAAACCACGAAGGCAAGTGGTTTGAGTCCTGCTGCGACCTTTTTTTTGCGAACGGAAACTTTTATGAGTCGATGTCGAAGATAAACGTAGTTAAGACTCTTTACGCTTGCGATTAGCAAGAGTTATCAAACTGAAATTTAGAGTTTTCGTATTAACAACTTGTGTAACAGAATCACTTATTCTTGGTTCATAATGAATAAAGGTAACGAATATGACCAGGGCCTGTTTTTTTTCAAACGGGAAACATTCAGCTTCAAATAAAATTGTCGGCCAATTATTTGTCTGCGTATCTGTCGTCGGCTTTGTTGTCACATCTTAGTTGAAATTGTTTTTTTTTCTTCTATTGCGCGCATTTTTCAATAACGTTGCTTTTAGTGGTTAATTACCCTTGCGCTAAGCAAGGGTATCGCAACCGGGTACTAGTCTTTTTTCCCCGACCATTTAAGGCTCTGGCCAATTTCGTAGAGTTCCTGGCCAACTTAGCTAGAGTTAACGAATATGCCTGGGACGACAAAGGTCTTGGGTTCGAGTCTGACGAGGACCTGTTTTTTTTCAAACGGGAATAATTCAGTTGGCCAATTATTTGTCGGCCAAATATTGTCTGCTTATCTGTCGGCCAATTATTTGTCTGCTTATCTGTTGTCGGCTTAGTTGTCATATCTTGCAATTGTTTTTTTACGCACAGGTTTTAATGTTGTTTTGGTGTGCTTTCGCTAAAAAAAATTTAAGGTCAAATTTATTTCGGCCTATTTTTTCATCTGCTTAATGATCTAGTTTTGAGACGTTTCAAGATCAACACAATTTAAACACTCTCCTGCGCACTTTTCAAGTTGGTTGCTTGTGTACCAATCTGTTTGTTGAAATTTCATTTTCATTTTGGAAAATTTTTGTTTTGGAGAAACTCCTGATTTTCAAGATGGAGTATCAATTGAAAGACCGCGCGTATTCATCTGTGTGCCTGCATACTCGCCTAGAGTTTTTTTTTTACTTGACCCCTCTGTCCAATGCCTTCGAAAAAGTGTCGGGTAATATTTGACCCATATTTTTGATTTTTTCGTTATCGAAAACTATCTCTATCAAATATGAGTTTTTGGTTTCAATTGATAGAACTGTTTTGAAAAGCTCCCACTGCATAAGTGGCTACGACCATTTTTTTTTGCACAAAAAGTTATGGCCCATTTTGTAGATCTTACTGACTTTTCTCAAAAACTAACCTCTCAAATCCGTAGTTGAGAGTTCAATGAGAAAACAGGTAGCGGGAAGCTCCTCTGCATTAGCGGACACTAACAAAAAGTTTTACTCAAGAATATATCGCCCTCTGAAAAGTCAAAATTTTGATTTTTTGCTCGTTTGTTTTTCATAACTGATTGTCAATAGGGGGTTATCTTTGCATTTAGGAAGTAATGAAAAATCTCGTTTATAGCACTGAAAGTTAGGTCTTTTCTCAAGTTTTTGTGAAAATTTTCTAGCCTTTTTCTTTTATGCTGTAAAAGTACAAATTGTCCCCGCTGAAATCACCAAATCAATCAAATGAATCACTTTCAAACTGCTGAAAGTGCAGGGATTGGGAATTTCAATAAGTCTGTTTATTATAAACTGCCGTTCTGTGTATTAATTATTTGTTATATTGACTTAAATTGCAAACGAGGAAAGCTTCACCCAAAATTTGAACCAGGGCCTAACTTCTATTCTATAACGCATATGCGAAACCATTAATTTTATAACAAATTTTTCTTTTGTAATTCAGTTTGAGCTAGAAAATGTTTCGCATTGAAAAGAGTGACATCTAGATCATCAAGATGATAGAAATTCATATTTTTTGAAAATTTTTATACTACATGTTGATTTTTTTACATTTTGTTTTCTTCGGTTGCCTTAAATGAAGGTTTTGCCATAATTAATTTTTTTTCCAATTCCCATAAATTCAGACAAGAATAGCTGGTTGCTGCGCATATTCATAAAACACTACAAAAAATTGTCCATGGTGTGATAGAAGAACTACACAAACGCTTGGAAAATTAGCCAATTAGTCATGATAGTGAACATTTTGCTCCAGAAAATGAAGAAAGGACAAAAATATTTGTTTAAGAAAGTGTTTAAGGCCAAGAAAGGGCTAAAGGAAGATTTAAATGAAGTTCTCCATTTAGAAAAATCAAGTTTTCTGAGACTAAATGTCCAAGTTAATTGTTTTATATACCGTACATTACTCGATCGCGTTAGTCGAAATTAGATTAAATATCAAAAATTTCAAATCATTTTTTTTGACACTGGACAATTTTAATGTCATTCCAATCACGGCCGAAAGGGCTTTAATATGGTATATCACTCGACCCAATCCGATGATTATTTGTGGTACCTATTTTTGCTTGAAAAAAAAAACAAACACACTTGCATACAAAGTTACTCTTTTTCAATGGTCGGCACAAAAAGACTGCATTTGCTGCGCAAATAGCAAAGAAGATTACAACTAACCTCTCAAATCCGATGTTGAGAGTTCAATGAGAAAACAGGTAGCGGGAAGCTCCTCTGCATTAGCGGACACTAACAAAAAGTTTTACTCAAGAATATATCGCCCTCTGAAAAGTCAAAATTTTGATTTTTTGCTCGTTTGTTTTTCATAACTGATTGTCAATAGGGGGTTATCTTTGCATTTAGGAAGTAATGAAAAATCTCGTTTATAGCACTGAAAGTTAGGTCTTTTCTCAAGTTTTTGTGAAAATTTTCTAGCCTTTTTCTTTTATGCTGTAAAAGTACAAATTGTCCCCGCTGAAATCACCAAATCAATCAAATGAATCACTTTCAAACTGCTGAAAGTGCAGGGATTGGGAATTTCAATAAGTCTGTTTATTATAAACTGCCGTTCTGTGTATTAATTATTTGTTATATTGACTTAAATTGCAAACGAGGAAAGCTTCACCCAAAATTTGAACCAGGGCCTAACTTCTATTCTATAACGCATATGCGAAACCATTAATTTTATAACAAATTTTTCTTTTGTAATTCAGTTTGAGCTAGAAAATGTTTCGCATTGAAAAGAGTGACATCTAGATCATCAAGATGATAGAAATTCATATTTTTTGAAAATTTTTATACTACATGTTGATTTTTTTACATTTTGTTTTCTTCGGTTGCCTTAAATGAAGGTTTTGCCATAATTAATTTTTTTTCCAATTCCCATAAATTCAGACAAGAATAGCTGGTTGCTGCGCATATTCATAAAACACTACAAAAAATTGTCCATGGTGTGATAGAAGAACTACACAAACGCTTGGAAAATTAGCCAATTAGTCATGATAGTGAACATTTTGCTCCAGAAAATGAAGAAAGGACAAAAATATTTGTTTAAGAAAGTGTTTAAGGCCAAGAAAGGGCTAAAGGAAGATTTAAATGAAGTTCTCCATTTAGAAAAATCAAGTTTTCTGAGACTAAATGTCCAAGTTAATTGTTTTATATACCGTACATTACTCGATCGCGTTAGTCGAAATTAGATTAAATATCAAAAATTTCAAATCATTTTTTTTGACACTGGACAATTTTAATGTCATTCCAATCACGGCCGAAAGGGCTTTAATATGGTATATCACTCGACCCAATCCGATGATTATTTGTGGTACCTATTTTTGCTTGAAAAAAAAAACAAACACACTTGCATACAAAGTTACTCTTTTTCAATGGTCGGCACAAAAAGACTGCATTTGCTGCGCAAATAGCAAAGAAGATTACAACTAACCTCTCAAATCCGATGTTGAGAGTTCAATGAGAAAACAGGTAGCGGGAAGCTCCTCTGCATTAGCGGACACTAACAAAAAGTTTTACTCAAGAATATATCGCCCTCTGAAAAGTCAAAATTTTGATTTTTTGCTCGTTTGTTTTTCATAACTGATTTTCAATAGGGGGTTATCTTTGCATTTAGGAAGTAATGAAAAATCTCGTTTATAGCACTGAAAGTTAGGTCTTTTCTCAAGTTTTTGTGAAAATTTTCTAGCCTTTTTCTTTTATGCTGTAAAAGTACAAATTGTCCCCGCTGAAATCACCAAATCAATCAAATGAATCACTTTCAAACTGCTGAAAGTGCAGGGATTGGGAATTTCAATAAGTCTGTTTATTATGAACTGCCGTTCTGTGTATTAATTATTTGTTATATTGACTTAAATTGCAAACGAGGAAAGCTTCACCCAAAATTTGAACCAGGGCCTAACTTCTATTCTATAACGCATATGCGAAACCATTAATTTTATAACAAATTTTTCTTTTGTAATTCAGTTTGAGCTAGAAAATGTTTCGCATTGAAAAGAGTGACATCTAGATCATCAAGATGATAGAAATTCATATTTTTTGAAAATTTTT